TATATATATATATATATTATTTTTTATTCTTTTTATTACTTATACTATCACTCACACGAAATGAAAATAAAAATTACTTCACCATTACATATATTTGAAAAATTAATCATAATAAATTGTCTTATAAATCGATTCAAAATTTAAATTTAAATTTATAATAATATTGAAAAATAAAATAATTATCATTTCACTATTATATGTATTTTCTTATCAAATTTTAAGTTTTTTATGATAAATCATTTGTGTTTAATTAATGTAATTTAATTTATTAAATGATAATAAGTTTATTTTATAATTAGTAGAAAATGTTTGAATTTTAAAAGACTAAAAAATATAAGAAAAAAATGAGTCTGAGCTATGTAGTATAGATATAAAATGTATACTTTAATTTTTTAATTGTCTAACCCTACCAATTTTATTTTTTATTTTTAAACTGAATTCAATAATTTTAAAATTTTATCAATAGTTAAAAATATAATTTGATATCAAAATTCAAAATTTTTATTTTAAATCTAAAATGTAATTTATATATTTATCAATAGTTATATATTCATTTATTTATAATTATAATAATATAAATATTAAAAGTTATTTACTATTTAAATTTTAATTATATAAAACTAAAAATTTATCATTTATAACTACAAACCAGAATACTAAATTATATATATATATATATATATATACATATATATATATATATATTATTTTTTAATTTTTATTTTTTGAATCTGTTTAGTTCATCAACATGAAGTAGAAGATGAAATTAAGAATGTCACTGATATTTTTAAAGTGAGTTGTTGAGAAATATATTTATTTGTAGTAACTAATCATGTTTTAAATAAGATTATTTTTTCAATAAATATAATATATGTGGTAAATGCAAAGGAAAAAAAAAAAAAGTCAAACCAAGCATTGAGTAAAGAATAAAGATAGTTTAAGAAAATTCTAAGCTGGACAACCAAGCTAAGAGATGATGATTTGGAAAAAATAATTAAAAAAGAAGAATATTATTCTATGCAGACTATGCTGGTGGCTTGGTTTCGAATATACCGCCACAAGAGATTTGGAAGCAAGGCATTGTTCAGACTCAGAGCCACCTCATTTTTAAGGTGTGTATTTGTTTTTATACTTACTATTTTTTATTTTCAAAATATCAAATATTAAAAACTATAATAATGGATGTAAATTTTATACAACATCGGAAATATATAATCTATCAAAAACTCAATTAAAAAATTATAAATTTTTTTTTACTTATTTTAGTCATATTTTATATAGTTAAATATTTTTATGCAAAATTTTATTTGAAAGAAGGGTGCATTTAATTTTTTAATAAAATTTATTAACATATCAACTTAACAAATGCACAATTAAATATGTTGTTATGTATTTCAACTTGACATCAACTCAAAATAACTGTTACACAATAAAAATCCATACAATAATTCCTTAATCTATAAAGTTTTACAACAATTTTATAAACAATCATAATAATTATTATCAAAATTCACATATCTCAACTAAAGAAAGAAAAATAGTTCTATATATTGATATTATTAATGAAATATAACTTTTCCATATTTAAAAAATTAATAAATCTTTTCCATATTTTATTTAATATTGTCTATAATTGGAAAACTTGTTTGTTAAGAAAAAAATGTTTTCTTAAAAAGAATTTGTTGATGAATAATTATAGACACATTTAAGAAATAAGACTAAAATGTTAAATGTCTTAAAATCCTAACAAATTTAATATTTTTAATTATTAAAATAATGAAAGTTTTAAATTTATATATGAAGATGCATTTCCACTATAAATTGATGAAGAAGGAGTGGTGACACATCTAAAAATTCTGACACCTAAATCAGTATAGAATAAATAATGACTAGTTGAATGCATGAATAAATTAAGGTGCAGTGAATGTATTTATAGGTGTGAGTGGTCTTGTCTCTAATTAGTAGGTTAGTGGCATCAATTTATCGCGCATCATGGTCGAAGAAAATAGTTTTATAATTATATTAATAATACCATTAATGATTCTCATTAAACATTTTTTAATTTTAAGTATTAAAACTTTCCATATTTTATTTAATATTATCTATCATTAGAAAACTTATTATTGTTAATAAATTATTATTTTTTTCTTGAAAATAAACCGCTAAGGTGAATAAGTATATATAAACCTTCAAGAAATAAAACTAAAATGTTAGTAAATGACTTAAAATCTTAATATATATTTAATATTTTAAAATTATTAAGAAATTTATGAAGATGCATCTTTATCAGAATTTTCTCTAATTGCTAGAGGTCATAACTCAACCAAAATGGAAGAAGGATGATATCGAAATTTTTGTTAACGTTGTCAAAGAGGGTGGTGTTACGTCCAGAGACACTACGATAAAATCAACTTGTAGTGATAAATAAAAAATATCACCTAAAGTTAAAAATTTGTTAGTAAGTTTTTAGATTATATTAACTCACATATGATTTATCTGTTTATTATATAAGTTATATAATAATGATATTTTAAGTTCTACTTATAGTAATAGTTATTTATAAATATAACATTAAATATTTATAAGTAACAGTAAATTTCAATTTTATCTACAATGGTTACATCCGTAAAAGCAAAACATACATAGGTATAATCAATAATAACAACATAATGACTACTTGAGTGAAACAGAATGTACATGAATAAACAAATTAGTGTTGTATTTCTAGCTAGGTGTGAAATGGTGTTGTATTTGATGGGTTAATGGTGTCATTCTGTCGCGTATCATCAGTGGAGAAAAGGCTCAACTTAGATGTTTCTTAAAAACAATACTCATACCATATATTAGTGTTAAGATTTAAATAAGTGATTTCAGAGATCGAGTATTTCGCTAATTTACTTGCAAATGAATGTTGAGTGCCTATAAGTATTTGACTAATTAAGGCTTGATTACTTCTCAACATGTTCCAATGGTTGGAGATTGGTCAAGTGGCAACGAATGTTTAATTCAATAATTCTTGTGATAATTGGTTGGGTGAGTTGTGCCAGACAATATTGCTCATATGCAAGTCTTGTCTAAAAATAATATTTAAATATTTGCACATTTAAATTTAATTAATTTACTAAAAGATAAAAAGTTTTGTTCAATAAATCACCCACTTAGTTAAAACCAATAAAAAATAAAAACAGTGGAAAGAATATTATAATATCATAAATTATGTAATATGTTATATAATTTAAATGATGTAAATAAAAAAAATTAATTATAAATGATAAATTTAATAATCATGTAGCATACTATTCAATGAGATGGATTTAAATTACATTATATTACTATTGAGCACATAAATTAACTTTCACGATGTTATTTTAACTTAATTATCAATGTAAAGTTAAAATTTTAATATACATGTTCATTAAATATCAAAAAGAATAACTTCATTTATGTCCCTCACATTTGAATTATTAATTATATTTTTTCCAGTCAAGCACGATTCTCTCATTCATGATGTTTCTATATAAATAAACAAGTATTAGTCTGAGTTCAATTCTCTAGATGTATCGAATTTTAAAATATTACTTAGTTCAACAATTAACCGAATCTGTCAATAACTGGGACTGGAACTGCATGTGATCGGATTCGAGGGTTGTTGTTAGCTTCACACGTAACAACAAAAGCTGTTAACGATGAGAGATAATTAAGTTCTTGCACATTTTAATAAAGAGTCATGTAATTAACTTTTTTTATATTTATATATATATATATATATAAGAAATCTTACTTCTCGAGGATTAAAAAAGGTTTAGTGAAAGGGATAAAATCTTTATGTATAGAAAGTGTTAAAATCTAGCATTTATTAGACAGTAATAACTTTACTAAGAAAAAAATGTCTGAATAGATTTTAAAAAAAATAAAAATTTGATAAAGTATATATACCAAGCTATGGCGAGTCTTAATAATATGAAATTTGGTTAAATAGTAAAACATGGGTACGTGGTTTATAATATTGAAATGTGAGTTGAAAGTTGAAAATGATATAGATGAGATGCATGGTTTCACACGTAGGAACGCGGCATGGAGTTATATGGCGCGCGTGAGTTTCTAGATGTTTGACAAAATTAGCGTTGTTAAAGTTTGAAAGGTGTTTCTCTCTCTCTCTCTCTCTGCCAGCGTTCAAGAATCAAAAGTGGATTCTCACACTTCATTGCTTCCGTCCTCTTTCTGGCTTCATTAATTCTCGTCCTTAATTTTTATAATATTTTGGTGCTCCATTGGTCAAAGACTTTCAAAAAGTTGTAAAATTTGGTTAAATTCCAAGATCACGACCACATAGTCAAAAAACCAACGCTTCATCCACATTTTCCATTCACTCATTGATTGATTGCCACAAAAAATAATAAGCGCTTCTCAACAAATCGGGCACTGTTTGATTTCGGTTTCGGGTTGCACCTACTCCCTTCGACGCTGTCCCTGTCTTTCTAGGTACCTACTTTTTGAATCCTTATCTAACGTTGATTTTCCTTATTTCTTCTTCTTCTCTTCCATTCCATGCCATGCCCATGCCCATGCCTGTCTCTTTCTGCTGTGCGTTTTTTTTCCTTTCGCTTCTCTCTAATTTCCGGACATAATCTGCAATTTTTATTTTATTTCAGTGCTCAAGTTTTTTTTTTTTTTGGTGTTAGATCTTGTTATTTTTATTTATTTATTATATACATAAGAAACATCTTGATAGATATCACATCTTGATCTTGATTGTGTTGTTTCTTCTTCTTCATATTATTATCATTTTATTTTATGTTTTACCTATAATTACTGTATATATATATATACATATTTTTAATTATTGTTTATGTGTGGCTGAAAATTTTGATATGAAATACATGCATTTTTTGTTGGTTAATTTGAGTTTGTTGACTGGATGCAACAGTGAGCGTTGGGTTGTCAGGTAGGAAGGGTGCGGGAGGGGAGAGTCTGAAAGAGGTGATGGCTCACACCGAAAGAGTTCTGCCAAACTGTGTATATGCTCCTAATCCCTACCATGAATGCACCGATGCTTGCTTGCAAAAGATCAAGGAAACCAAGCCTGGCAAGCCAACTAAACAGAGAAAGAGTTTTGGTCAGTTCTTCTTCCGCTTTACTCTTTTTTTTTTTTTTTTTTTTTTTTTTTTTTTTCTATTAATGTATCTCATTGAAAAATATGCATTCAAAATTTGAGGTCTCCAATCTTCATCCTACTGTTACAAATGCGATGACTGTCTGATTGTGAATATCTGATTCCATAAAGAATGTAACTGCCTATTGTATATGTTACTTTTCTGTTTTGACTTGTTTACGGTTATGTGTAGATAAAAGAAAATAGGAAGAAAAATTGAAATTAATTTTGTATAAGTTATAATTAGTTTATGGATAAGTTAGAAATACGTTTTTGAAGAATTCATTATGAGAGAACTTTCACAGACATAAGCTAATTTTAGCTTTTAAAAAAATTATTTCATCTTTTCTTTTTATTTTCTTCTCCCATAAATATTTTGTTTTTTTGGAGAAATTTACCTAACCAAACCTTGTATACATTGGGATTTGTTTGAAATTGTTGTTGTTGATGATGATGATAAATTGCCATGACTTTTGTACTAACTACTTGTAAAGTCATAGTCATAAGTCATGATGATTTCTGATTGAGCGAGTGTAAAAATCTTTAGTTCTTTTCACTAATAGTGTATGAAATTAAACTATAAATCTAATATTTTAAATTTAACGAATATATTTGGGAGTGCCTAGTTGCCAATGTCTGAACACTTGTAAGATCTGTCTTTTTCCTTCTTTTTTTTCCCCCAAAGATTATCGCAGAACTGTCACAGATGGTGAACTTGGGAAAAAGATGAATGATGAAAAACGCAGGACCTCAGGTTGCCCCAAAGCATCTAATCCTTACCATGTGTGCGCTGAAAGTTGCCAAAAAAGAATGTCTGCAGCTGATTCAGGTTTCCCTCCATTTTTCATCTGCTATTTAAGGTTGTCCGTGATATACAATTCAGCCACAAATTTCTTAAAAGCTTATGAAGCGTATCTTATAGTGAATTTCAAAGCAAGATTTCTCCATCATATTCACTCCATATAAAATACTAGTGGTTTAATTTAGAAGAATGTGATTCATCTCAAAGGGAAACCCAAGAAATATTTCTGGTTCCAGTATCTAGAGTTTATCTAGGGAAACCTCAGAAATACTTTTTGATTCAAATGAAAGTAGTATGGGTTTTATCTAGAGTTTAGTCCTGACTCCAGAAACAGATTAGTTTGGACTTTGGAGACTCAGAAAAATAAAAGGTCTCATTTGTCTGACCATTTCTCGATAGCAGATTAATCTTCTTTGAAAAAACACTATACTGTCCATCACATAAATCGTCGCTATCTATGTAATTGGTTTACCAAGTTCACAAAGTCGATGTCCATTCACAGCTAGCACAGCCTATTAAGGCTTGCCGGCCAATTTGCTTGACTAGTCAAAATATGTTACTTGGAGGTGATAAACAGATCATTGGTATACCTCAGATCTTTCAGTATAAATATTTTCTTATACTACTATTCTTTTAAATTGCAGGTGCCATGTCATTGAACTTTGACAGGAAAAAGAAGCTTGGTTCTAAGCCAGAACCCCCCGTTCTTGACAGTGTTCCACCCTCAAAAATTGGAGCTATTTATCTCTCCGATGCTTCATCACCGTTATCAAATTATTCTGAAAAGACAAAGGAGGAGCCAAAAAGCAATGAGCTAATACCAGTTTCTGGAGAAATACAAGTCCTAGATGTCATGGTAGACATCCCTTTTTTCTAGCATTCTCTTCTTTTCTTTTTGGTCAAACCTCAAATTAACTTGAATTATTCTTAAAATTAGAGTTTAATGATCATGCATGGTCAGTTTTTACATTGTCAACTAATTAAAAACCTCTACTAGTGTCTGTAAAACTGAAAATGTTTACCATACAGGATAATTATGATTGGATGATAGTATAAAAATGTTTTACCCTTAAAATTATGGCCTAATACAAGCCAATAAGCATGAGTTGACTTGTCCTTGTTTCTTTGAAAGGCTATGAATGACAAGGTCCAGTCAAAGGATGGTGCTGAGCAACCGGCCAATGCGATAAGAACAAAGCACAATGGGGACAAAAATGCTTCACATAAAGTTGTTCCAATCAGCTCTGTTGACGACACGAGAGGTCTTACTAAACCAGATGGCGGGTCCATGAATTATTGCTTTTCTGGTGGCCTCAATGACAATGATGAGAGTGATGGAGAGGAGACCGAGTCTGTGGTCTCGGAGGCTCGTGTCCCGGTTGGAAAATACCATGTGAAAGAAAGCTTTGCTCCCATTCTGCGGTCCATCTTTGAAAAGTATGGAGATATAGGAGCAAGCTGCCACTTGGAATCAGTGGTCATGAGGTCATACTATATTGAGTGTGTGTGCTTTGTGATACAAGAGTTGCAGTGTACTCCAATAATGGAACTAACAAAGTCCAAAGTCAAAGAACTTTTGGCTATTCTCAAGGATGTAGAATCTGCTCAACTTCGTGTGGCGTGGTTGCGCAGCATAGTTGATGAAGTTGCTGAGAACATAGAACTAGTCCATGAGCACCGTGTGGTGGAGATGGCAAAGGTTAACTCTGATCGCGAAATGGAAGCATTGAACAAAGATCTGGAATCAGAAATGGAAATCTTGGCTCAGAAAGAACAAGAGGTAAAAGATGTTAAAACAAGAATTGAACAGATCAGAGTGCGTTTGAAGGAGCTTGAGGTGAAGTCTTCTGATTTGGACAAGAACATGCTGGCACTCAAGTCCCGGGCAGTGCTTAAATTAGATACCAAATCCTTGCTAGATGAACTAGTGTGATGTTACTGTTTTGTCAATTAGTCTTTCAATTTCGTTATCAGAATTAAGGTAATGTTTAAATTGTAGAAATATGATCCTGAATAAACACGTCATACATTTTTAAGCTAGAGAATGGTATGAATACATATTGCACCCACACACATGCACCTTTTTAAGCTGTACTTCAATTTATATAATTTTTATTTATTTATACCTTAATATCCCAACAGCATTGGGTTGAAACTTGAAATTTCGGTCATTACTAGAATTTAGTTTGTCTGGATATTATTTTCATGTAAATTTTATACATTTTGCCCCAATTATAAAATATTAGTGGTCCATGTTATCGGTATATCTTGCGGGTTTGTAAATATTTGTTTGGATGGTGAGAACGAGAAGAGGGGTTTTGATTTTATTCTTTTTCTTTTTGACTGAATGTTTCAAAATCTTTTTAAAAATCTTTTAAAAAAATGAAATTGGAAAGTTATGCGTGTCTATTTACAAATGAATTACAGAGTATAAAAGGTATGTTTGCAGTTTGAAAAAAAAAAGTCTGAAATAAGTTGGCTCCAAAAAGAATAGAGAAAATAATAACTTTGCAAATAAAGGATAACTTGCCTCATTTATTGGGTTGCTCAGTGGTTGGGTTCGATTGGATTCAGGAAAAAGAAAAGAAAAAAAAAAAAGGCTGGTGGCGATAATTGAACTCAGCATTATTCTCCGATCCATTACAAATCATGTTGGGCCTCTAGCTTCTTGGATTGTAGATTAGTATGAACCTAATGCATGTACGTATTATCAACAAAAATTATCCATTCTTATTAAATGTCACCGTAAAATTTACACTAACAATGTATGTAAGTTAAATTTATATAATATTCAATTTTACTAATAGTACCATGTTGTTTTAGAATGTGTATTTACAAAATAAAGAATTATTTTTACATAGTTAAGATTTATAATAACTTTATAAAGTGTATATTATGTTAAAATTAAAATGCATAATAAATTAATGTATTTAAATTTATAAATTATAGTTTAGGTTCTTTATGAATAATTAAAAGGGAAAATACATTTATAGGTCCTTAATTTTTTTTTTAAATAAATTAAAATGTATTTTATAATTCGTGTAACCTATAATTTTTTTTGAGGGCTCATGTCTGTCATAAAACTTAAAAAAAATTATTAGCTCACTTATACATAACACATATATAATGAATTATATAAGAAAGATTTTATTGAAAATCGATATAGTCGTGTTTTTAGTGGAATTCATAAAATGAATCATTCAACTTGAACCGACTTAATAAACAAAAGTTTGAAAAAACAAGTCATAACTAGATAATTTTTATATAAGTAGTGATTTTTTTTTTCTTGATTGACTAACATATTAGACTAAATTAACCTTCTTTTTTTTTTTTTTTTGCATTTTATAAGAATTTTTTTTTAAGTCAAATAGATTCAATAACTTTCAAACCAACATTTTTAAAACTCAACAGTCCACCAAATTAATTCTATTCTTTTCGACCTTAAAATAAATAGTCTAATCCAATTTAACTTATCAAGCTAAACAAAATGTTGGACCAATTTTAACGATTTTATAAGAGATTATAACTTCATTTATTTTATGTGTAAGTGTTTTAGAAAATATTATTTTCTTTAATAAAAAAAACGGTTAAACACACACACAAATATATATATATATTAACTGACCGAAAGCTTTAAAAAGTGTATTAACAAAAAAAAAATTGCTACATTCCAAATGATCTTCTGACTAATTAAAAAGTTTTTTACTTTTTTGTTCAAAATTTCGGAGGATGTATAACTAGAAAAACGATATATCCTATGAATGGATGTTCCGAATCATACTCCGACTAATTAAAAAGATTTTTTCTTTTTAATTAAAATTTATATTTTATAATAAAAAAATTATAAATGTCAATCATAATTAATTCGGACTATTTTCGGACAAAATTTCGGAACCTTTATCATTGTTCGTATAACTATTGTTAAAAAAAGAGAATTGCTACATC